CCCAAATCTAAACATAGTCTATCCCTAATATATCCCCATATCTCAACATAGTCTATCCCTTATATATCCCCATATCTAAACATAGTCTATCCCTTATATATCCCCATATCTAAACATAGTCTATCCCTTATATATCCCCATATCTAAACATAGTCTATTCCTTATATATCCCCATATCTAAACATAGTCTTTCCTTATATATCCCCATATCTCAACATAGTCTATCCCTTATATATCCCCATATCTAAACATAGTCTATCCCTTATATATCCCCATATCTAAACATAGTCTATCCCTTATGTATCCCATATCTTAACATATTCTATCTCTTATATATCCCCATATCTAAACATAGTCTATCCCTTATGTATCCCATATCTTAACATATTCTATCTCTTATATATCCCCATATCTAAACATAGTCTATCCCTTATATATCCCCATATCTCAACATAGTCTATCCCATATATATCCCCATATCTGAACATAGTCTATTCCTTATATATCCCCATATCTCAACATAGTCTATCCCTTATATATCCCATATCTTAACATAGTATATCTCTTATATATCCCCATATCTAAACATAGTCTTTCCCTTATATATCCCAATATCTTAACATAGTCTATCCCTTATATATCCCCATATCTAAACATAGTCTATCCCTTATATATCCCCATATCTCAACATAGTCTATCCCTTATATCTCCCCATATCTAACCATAGTCTATCTCATATATATCCCCATATCTCAACATAGTCTATCCCTTATATAGCCCCATATCTCAACATAGTCTATTCCTTATACATCCCCATATCTAACCATAGTCTATCTCATATATATCCCCACATCTCAACATAGTCGATCCCCTTTATATCCCCATATCTAAACATAGGCTATTCCTTACATATCCCCATATCTAAACATAGGCTATTCCTTACATATCCCCATATCTAAACATAGTCTATCTCTTATATATCCCCATATCTAAACATAGTGTATCGCATATATATCCCCATATCTTAACATAGTCTATCTCTTATATATCCCCATATCTAAACATAGTCTATCCCATATATATCCCCATATCTAAACATAGTCTATCCCCTTTATATCCCCATATCTAAACATAGTCTATTCCATACATATCCCCATTTATAAACATAGTATATCCCTTATATATCCCCATATCTAAACATAGTCTATCTCATATATATCCCCACATCTAAACATAGTCTATCCCCTTTATATCCCCATATCTAAACAAAGTCTATTCCATACATATCCCCATTTATAAACATAGTATATCCCTTATATATCCCCATATCTAAACAAAGTCTATCCCATATATATCCCCATATCTAAACATAGTCTATCTCATATATATCCCCACATCTAAACATAGTCTATCCCCTTTATATCCCCATATCTAAACATAGTCTATCCCATATATATCCCCATATCTAAACATAGTCTATCCCTTATATATATCCCACTATCTAAACATAGTCTATCCCTTATATATCCCCATATCTCAACATAGTCTATTCCTTATACATCCCCATATCTAAACAAAGTCTATCCCTTATATATTCCCATATCTAAACATAGTCTATCCCTTATATATCCCCATATATAAACATATTCTATCCCTTATATATCCCCATATCTAAACATTTTCTATCCCTTATATATCCCCATATCTAAACATAGTCTATCCCCTTTATATCTCCATATCTAAACATAGTCTATCCCTTATATATCCCCATATCTAGACATATTCTATCACTTATATATCCCCATATCTAAACATAGTCTATCCCCTTTATATCCCCATATCTAAACATAGTCTATCCCTTATATATCCCCATATCTAAACATAGTCTATTCCTTATATATCCCCCAACAAGTTCTTGTCCTGAACCACAGAAAGCATCATTACTTACTTCATCTGTTTAACAATTGTGCTCTTCCCGGACTCACCAGCTCCTACAACAAATAA